GATTCCCAAAAGCGTGTGTTTTCGTGGGGATTTGGGGGATATGGACGACTAGGCCACACCGAGCAAAAAGACGAGATGGTCCCACGGTTAGTCAAGCTCTTTGACTTCCCTGGCCGTGGAGCAACTCAAATATACTGTGGCTACCAGTGTTCTTTTGCTGTTAATGAAACGGGTAAGTATGTAATTCCTCCCTGGGAAAAAAACACAACCTTCATCATCTATTGGTGGTTAATGCTGATTCTCTTTCCTCAGGTGGTCTGTTTTTCTGGGGAGTGACAAACACGTCCCGTGAGTCCACCATGTACCCCAAAGCTGTGCAGGATCTGTGCGGATGGAAAATTCGCAGTCTGGCCTGTGGGTAAGTAAAGGCAGAGGACTCTAAAAATGTGTTTTATAAAACATTTTGAAATGTTTGCAGAATGTTGATTAGATGTTGCCTCTAACTCCTCTCAGGAAGAGCAGTATTATCATAGCAGCTGATGATAGCACCATTAGCTGGGGACCATCACCCACATTTGGAGAGCTGGTATGTTTATCTGTCTTCTGTTAAAGCCTGTTTAAGATTTAGGTCAATAACTACACAAACGTTTTGGGGTCAGTAAGATATATATATATATATTTTTAAAGAAATTAATATTTTTATTCAGCAAGGAGGCGTTAAATTGAAAAGTGACCGTAAAGATCATGATAATGTTACAATATATATATATTTTTTCAAATAAATGCTGTTCTTTTGAACTTTCAATTTAGCAAAGAATACTTAAAGCAATGTAGCAGGGTTTCCAAAAAATATTAAGCAGCACAACCGTTTTCAACATTGATATTAAGAAATGTTTCTTGAGCACAAAATCGGTATGTTAGAATAGAATGATTTCTGAAGGATCAAGTTACCTGCAAGCTCATCTTCCTCCACCTTTGAGTACACTGCCCACAAAATTCAAACAACCGATGCATAAAACCAAATCAGTTTGAACTCAAAATATTGTTTTCTAGTAATCTGTTACACTCAGATGTTCACCACAATATAGAAGATCTGATGCCACTTCATGTGACTATAAGTATTTGTGTTGGATAAGTATGAATAAATAGGTGTGTGTTTATCTAACATCAAAACGCCAATGATAAAGAACTATATCTGGATACATAAAACGGATACAAAAAAATGCAATTTAATCCTCATCCTCCTCTTCCTCATCCTGGTTGAACTGGAAGTAGCGAAACTCATAGTTTTCTTTAGACTTAATGATCAAGTGAGACTGGAGTAATAACTGCTGAAAATCAAGCTTTTCTATCAAAGGAATAAATTACATTTTAAAATATATTAAAATTAGAAAAAGGTTATTTAAAAGCATAAGAGACTTCCATCAATGCGTCTATAAATAGTGTAAGATGGCAAGTTTCTCATTTAAATTTTGCATTTTAGGGCTATGGTGACAACAAACCCAAGTCATCCACCACTGCTCAAGAGGTCAAAACTCTGGATGGCGTGTACTCCGAACAGGTGAGTTCTGCTGTCAAAAACGTGACTCATATCTTCTCAGAATTCTGTTCTCTGTGATACACAGTATCGCTATGCAACTGAAAACTATGTCATTTCAGGTGGTGATGGGCTATTCGCACTCCCTGGTTATTGCTCGGCAAGACACAGAGCAGGAGAAGGAAAAGCTCGAGAAGCTTCCCGAATACAACCCGCGCACACTCTGATTGGACACCATTCACATTTTCTCTAGGGGCTTTTTTTAATGGAATGCCTCTGCTCACTAGGTCACCTGTGTAATCACAGTTTGGTTGGGATGGGATTGTTTATTTTTCTTTATTTTTGGACATCATATTACATTTTTGAAAAACAAGCCACATGTTGGATAAAAGTATGAAAAGTTGCATTAACTGATCTGTCCAGGCTCGTGCGTTCGAGAATGGTAATTGTGGCATCACACACCTGATTTAATTTCACAATAGAGCCAGCAACTGCTCAGAGCACTTGGATTCCACTGGATCCATCCCCTTTACTTGTACATTCCTAATGGAAGTATATCTCAGATTGTTTTGTTGATTATTTTTCCATAACAATGACTGTGAGATTCAGGTCTGCTCTCTTCCAAAAACTGGTGCTAAATCATTCTAATGCAGACTATCAATGGGCTAATGGTTAACTGAAAGACAAACTCACTCCATTCTTGTGCCTTTTTAAGTGAGATGATTCAGGCTGAGGAAGTTGTTAGTCCTATGACAACTCAAGTGTTCATCTTTTATACATCACTTTCATTACTTCCATCACCATACATAAGAACATTTTCCTCAAGTCAAAAGACCACGTTGCTAATATGTAAGCTTTTTTCCTCTCTATTTTTAGGATACAGACTCCTGTTAATCTGATCAGGGAAGTATTATCAACTCCTGCAATGCAAATGAGACATCAGCTGTGAGACTATTAAAATTCATTCTCCCTTTTTTTTTTTTTAAGAAATGTAAATCATTAATTTTCCTGTCCTTTCTAGTATTGTAAACTACAGAAATGCTGTTCTCATGTGTTGATGTTAGCATGTTTTGGAAATAATGGACTTGATGTTGAGAAGAGTAGGATTGTCGCATCATCTGGGACCACACTGTCTTTAAAGAGCATCATTTCATGCAATATTTTGAATACGGTGCCATTTCTTTGAATTCACCTGGGCTTAAACTGTGATCACATTTGTTTCATAATCTGTTTGTCAGTCCATACAAGAATCCATCCAGTTTGTGGGCAAGCAACAAGCTGACGTGTTTTATGTTCTATAATTTTAAATTGTGAACTTGCAAGAGATGTGTTCATTTGTTTAAGCAGTATATTTCCAGGAACTGGAATTCCAACTCCTATTCTGAAATGTTATTTTTTTTTCTTGATATTAAATAAAGGTTCATGCAAGTTGGTATATGTTGCTGCAGTTTTTTTTAACCACGCATATGCTTTTTTTTTTTTTTTTTACTCGAGTTAGCAGTGTGTTATCTTAGTTGGCATTAAGTGAAAATTCACCCTATTTATTTTCCAAACGCATGTTACAGGTGTTGTGAACAATTTATCTGTGCACATTTCATTTATAAAAAAAAAAAAGTTTTGACTTAATGTTTAATCAAAGTATCATAACTGGACCTTTCAGTAAAAACAACAGATTTTTTCATCTTCTGATGAAGTATGAGGAATTCTCCAATCATTTAGTCTGCATAAACCTGCCCCTGCAAGCTCCTCTTCCTCTACTTTTCAGTACACTGCCAACAAAATTCAAACAACCGATGCATAAAACCAAACTAAAAATATTTTGTAGTAATCAGTTACACTCAGATGTTCACCACAATATAGAAGACCTGATGCCACTTCATTTCTACTTTATAAGTATTTGTGGTGGATAACTATGAATAAATAGGTGTGTGTTTATCTAACATCGAAACACCAGTGATAAAGAACTATATCTGGATACATAAAATGTAGTCGTATATGAATTTATTTAACTGTAAACAAAACAAAAACAACTGCAAGAATTTAATCCTCATCCTCCTCTTCTTCCTCATCCTGGTTGATCTGGAAGTAGCGAAGCTCATAGCTTTCTTTAGTGTTCGCCACAACACGCAACCAGTCTCTGAGATTGTTCTTCTTTAAGTATTTCTTTGTAAGGTATTTCAGGTACCTGCAGAATAGACGAGGGCAGTGGAATAAAATGTAAAAAGTTGCAGATAAAAATAAAATTGGCAAGACAAAGTCAAGATATATCAAAACACACACCTCTTGGAGAAGGGCACCTCAGAAGAAACTGTGATTTTGCTCTTGCTTCTTTCAATGGTGACCACTCCACCTCCCAGGTTTCCTGCTTTACCGTTGACTTTGATGCGCTCCTGTAGGAACTGCTCCTGTAACCACACATGCAAATGACAAGTCACAAACTCAGACAGCTGGCGGTTATCTGACCTCTTCGGTATAATAAAGATCGTTTTACACAATAGGGCTTGATCTACTCACAAAGTTGGCAGCATCCATAATGCCATCTTCAACGGGGTGCGTACAGTCCAGCGTGAACTTCAGGACCTGCTTCTTTTTCTTCTTTCCACCTTTAGAGCTCTGGTGCTTCCTCTGCAATTAAATATATATATAAAAAAACATACTTATATAATATATATCGTGTCATTATCATCAGAATAACAAAACCATTAGTAGAAGTGTTGCGCGCAAAACTGAATTAAGCTCCTTTGAGAATGTGGCTGCGCGGGGTTCTTTCAATATTTAACGATTGCTTTACATACTGGGTTATTACTAAACTTATTTTGTGACAGCGATAGTGTTTAATATTCAATCTCGAATGATTTGTGTACATGATAACGAATGGAAACGTGTTATTTTATTCACTAGTTCCGTATGTTCGCACTTACAACAGGCGCCATAGCGAGTAATTTCGTCGAAAGGAAGAACCGCGACTGCGCGAGCGAGACGTCACCGACTGATTAATCTAGCCCGGATGTAATCGATGTGCTCGATTTGTCTGTTGTTGGATATAATAATAGACGATTTGCCCAATGATAATAGTCATAAAAAAGTCATAATGTACTCTATATACGACTTCACCATATACAAAATATGACTTAATTGTTCCCCATGGAACAGAATAACGGTAATCTTATCTTAAAAAACTTGTGACCCACACATAAAAGTCATTTCGTGACGAATTTGGAATGATTAGTAGATGAGAAAAGGATGACAGAAATGTCATGTTCGGAAGAACTATCCTTTTAAATGTGAACAGGCGTTAAATGACCCACAAATTCTATTTTTGCATGTATATATGAAAAGATCTAATGAACTAATGCTTTTAGTGACATCATTATTCTGATATGACATGCTAGTTTGCATGTTAGATTAAGAAAGATATACTGTGTGATTTAATTTTAGCTACCAGGGCTCTGCTTTTGACAGACAATGGCATCTGTGTTGTGTTGTGTAATCAATGTTCTGGCCCCAACATATCACCCCCTCATACAGCAGATACAGGAGTGTCAATTGATTGTTTGTTCTTGAAGTCATGTCCTGCACCTAGGAACCCTCACAGAACCTTCACACGGCATTCATTCCACCTGGCAGAAGCACTCGGACAGGAAAAGGTATTCAGATATTCTATGTGAATGGAATTAAATATGTACATCTATTTCTGTATCTTTTAGTATGTATCTATTCAAGTGACCTTTGACTTTGATGTTGCTTCGGAGCATATATGGCCTTGTTCAGAGGTTTATAGCCATCTTCTAAGTTCAATAATGAGTACTGACCTTGGATCTCAAAGAACAATTTAACTATATATTCTTATTCAAGGAGAGCCCAAGGGTACTAAGCATGCTTAGAATATTATTTATGATAGATATACTGTATAAATGTGCAATGTGTAAATGTGCTCAGGCATATACTATATCTGAAGGTCTTATATTTTCAGATGTCTGGAGATATCTTTTCCCCTTTGGATAATCTCTATGACCTGGAGAGTGCCAACTGCCATCCTCTGGTGTGCCACTTGTGCCAAGAACAGTATGAGCATCCATGTCTACTGGACTGTTACCATACATTCTGTGTCAGCTGCCTGCGTGGAAGGGCCGTGGACAGCCGACTGACTTGCCCTCTCTGTGGGTAGGTATTTAATTTATTTAATTATTGATCACCTTATTATGACAATTCACACTTAAATAATTATGCATAAGTATGGAAGCCTGTTTCCACCACGGTACTAAAAAAAGGCAATGGTGACCTTTTATCTTTTATCTTTTGAGAAGAAAAGTCAGAATTATGAGATATAAATGTGCAATTACAAGAAAAAAGAATTCTGAGTATGTATCTCACAGTTCTGAGTTTATAGCTGGCAATTCTTTTTGATTTTTTTTTTTCAAAATTGCTAGAAACAAAGTCTGAATTGTGAGATATAAACTCAGAAATGTGAGAAAAAAGTCAGAATTGTAAGATAAAAAGTCACAATTACCTTCTGTATTCTGTGGCGGAAATGGGCGTCCATACTTATGACATGTATGCATTTGAAAAATCTAACATTGTATTTATAGATCTAAATGGTCAAACAACACTGTCTGGTCAACTATATGGTGCCAACGGCATTTGTAGGAGAGATTGCCTTCAACAGCTGCACCATAAATCCTGCCTTTGTGTTGTGCCTGCCTTGGCACATTCTGCCAAGGCCACTGTGGTATCAAACAATAAACCTAACACTATCTGACACTTGACATTGGATACACAGGTCCTGGGCTGGCTACAGTTAGAGATGGCTGAAACGCCTGTGTGCTCACCCTAAACCTTCCATATAGTAAGTCTAGCAGCAGCTTAATCGCACACCGTAGATCTTGCACATATGGAGGAAATATATTAAAAAATGGAAAAAAGGTTGGTGGTCTTTATAAGGCAGCATGTTAGAGTAAGTATGAATTTGTTTTTTAGCTGGTTCAATATTTATCTGAAGGTTAAGTTACTGCAAAAATTTCTCAGTATTTGTGTTGCATTATGAGTGTTGCAGTATGAGTGTTACATTATGGCATTGCGATTGCATGCATTATGTATTTGTAATTGTTGTGCATCAGCAATGCAAAGGAGAATGCTAATGTTACAGTATAGGACAATATATCATTGTTTAAAACGCTTTGTCAAATACATCGTGAATGCTTCTCATAAAAGTGAATTCACAGGGAATCTTTGAACTATTAAGCTTAGAAATATTAAAATAGTCTTTTTGTCTAGGAATTATGTTTATTTGAGTCTCATGTTTGTGTCTATTTCTGTCTGTGTGGGGGTTTATCTATCAGTCTCCGTTATATCTCAGAATTCAAAAGAGAGCTATTTGTGTCACTGTTGCTATGAGGGAGAGATAAACTCGTCAATGCCAGATGTATGACTTTATCAGGCAATGGGTCAAAAGTTCTGCACAGGCACACAAAACTGTCTGTTTCTTTTGTAGACATCAGTCTGTTGTGAAAGGAATAAATGCACTTCCCCCAGAGGATCGACTCCTGAAGTTCTTGGTGGACAGTTCAGCAGACAGTGAGGAAACTGTGCAGTGTGCCAACTGTGATTTGGAGTGCAAGAAACAGGTCTCATTATCACCATCGCAACACTGAAACATGCACTTCCTAAAAAATGTAACGGTTATAGTTCCTTAAAGTCACAATGTAATAGAAATAGCGGCAGATCTTTTCTCGCATATTGTGATGTACATCCAAGTGAAATAGATTATAGAAAAAAAATGTGTAGGGTGGCGGTTTTATCCATTGGATGTTGATTGGATGGAGGCAGATCTGAATGTGAGCTTATATAGTGATAATATGATAGCACATTTACAGAATATATATTTTGAGAAAAAAAATGCAATTGACAAAATGTGAATATTAATACATTTATTTATAATATAGTTCTAGCAAAAGTTGTGGTTACACTTTTTAAAGGAAAAGTTCACCCAAAAAATTAAAATTTGCTGACAATTTACTCACCCTCAGGCCATCCAAGATGTAAATGTGTTTGTTACTTATCGGAAAAGATTTGGTGAAACATTACATAATTTGCTCACTAATGGATCCTCTGCAATGAATGGGTGCCATCAGAATCAGAGTCCAAACAAAAGCATCACAATTATCCATGTGATCAGTTAATGTCTTATGAAGTGAAAAGCTGTGTTTGTAATAAACAAATCCATCATTAAGGCATTTTAACATTGAAACGTTAAAGTTACAGCTAAAGTTCCAGTCCATAATACATAATAACACTTCCTCCAGTGAAAAAGACCATCCCCTGTGGTCCTCTCACATCAAAATCCACTGACAAATTTGTTTAGAACTGTTTTGGACTGTTTTCGCTTTTTGCTTGATCTGTGCATATTTCCCTCCTGGTTCAGACAAGTGGACTTTTTTTACTGGAGAAAATATGATAGAGGACTCACATTTTAGATGGAAGCAACGGTTTGAAGTTAAAAACATAGCTTAATAATTTCAAGATTTATACAAGATACAAGATTTATTACAGATTTTTGGACTCTCATTCTGACGGCACCCATTCACTGCAGAAGATCCATTGGTGAGCAAATGATGTAATGCTACATTTCTCCAAATCTATTCCGATAAAATAAACAAACCCATCTTCATCTTTCATAGCCTGAGGATAAGTACATTTTCAGCAAATGTTAATTTTTGGATGAACTCTTCCTTTAAGATATTTTCTTCTTGATTGTGATGTCCATCCTAGTGAAACAGATTATCGAATAATAATAAAAAGGTAGGGTGGGGTTTTTATCCATTGGTTGTTGACTGGATGGAGGCATATCTGAATGCGACCTTGCTGTCGATTGTAAGAAAGGGATGGGGTTTATAGGGACTAATTTATTGGAAAAGTCAAAGGCTTTTAAGTGCTGGCATAAATGAAATCCAATAATTAGCCTATACATTAAACAACAATACTAAACAAATTAAAAACATATTTTATGAATGTACTTTTTAATAAAATATTACTGACTGTCTTAGTGTCTTTAACAACACATTGTCATATGAACAACTAGTCAGTACTTATTAAGTATGTGTTTGATCCACTGAAAAGAACCATCAGAGTCAAACAAAGAGTCATTAGAATAATTTGCTCAGGAATTGGTCAACAGCAGTTGCGCTGTACCTTTTTGATTCACTAAAAAGAATTGGCTCATAAGAGTCATTCGTTTGGAATCAGACTACATGGTCGCGCTGTAGATTCAGTAGCGGTGTTTGTGCATGAAATTCAGTTTATCAGTATTTTGTAAGTACGAATGCCAATATTTTTATTTATGTATTTTAATTTTTTTTAAAGATTCGATTTTGTCTGGTTACGCATTTAAATCTTCTGTCACAAACCCCAGGATGTGGATGCAATGTATTATTGCAACACTTGTTGCCAGCCACTGTGTCAAGACTGCAGGGAAACCACCCACAAAGCCAAGATGTTTTCCTGCCACGAGATTGTCTCCTTGGCAAAGCGCACCAAAGAAGCCCACAAAAAATGTGGTGTGTGTTTTGAATTACTTTAAACCACTTCTCAAGTTTCCCCCGCAAAATATAAATGAATAAAATTAATTTCAAATTCAAAAACAAGTCTTTAATGCTAAAGCTTTGAGATTCATGCAGTTTCTGTCTGATTGCAGCCCTCCATGAGGAACTCTACATCATGTTTTCAACGGAGAAAAAGTCCATGCTCTGCATCAACTGCTTCAGAGACATGCAAGTGTGAGTTATAAACTTAACTCACAGAGCATGTAATTAGCATAGCACTCATCTGATTTCAAAATAATCTGGGTTTGTCTAATTCCATAGGGAGAGCAGAGCACACTGCATTGATATTGAGACAGCATATATACAAGGCTGTGAAAAATTGGACCAAGCCGTCTTAGTGAGTTTCTCTCCCATCCTCCTTTTCTTCCGCAGTAATGTGTTCTTTCATCTGTGTCTGTATTGTGTGGAGCTGTGAAGCACCTATCGAAGTCATTTCACTCTCCTCAGGCTGTTAAGGAGCTTCAGACGTCAGCGCGAGAAGCCATTACTCTGCTCAAAGCCATGATTGGAGAGGTCAGGGCCAACGTGGATGAAGAAGAGAGCTTCATCTCCACTCTGTTCAATAATATGCAGGTTTCATACACAATTACTTGACATGTTAATCTCTCTGGCTACACTTAAATTATTTGGATATGAAAAAATGTGTCATAATTTTGAAATTGGTGATTCACATATATTTTTTTCCTCAGGAAAGACTAGCAGAAAGAAAAAAGGTTCTACTCAAGGCAGCACGAAGGTAAGTAAAATATATATCACTTAAAAATACGTAAATAGAAAAATAAAACATTCTACATTAAAATCTTGTACATGACATTAAAGCACTAACTGCACCATTATGCTTTTTGTCAGACAAAAATATATTGATCACAAATGTTTAATAGGGTGTTTATCTATGTTTATTATTTATGTAAATGTTTAATATTTTTAGGGTGACAATTTTACCATCGGTCCAGGGACTGCAGAATGCAAAATAGCCTTCTGGCTAATTCTGGCACATTGTACATTTATGTATTATTGATGTGCATTGTCCCTGTCAACTAAACCTGAAATAAATAGTGCAGTGAAATATTAAATATGAATAATTAGAGATATATTACAATATATTTGTACCATCTCAGTTATCAGCTTATATTATAGTTATCAGAGGTTTCAATATCTATTTTAATATTACAATTTTAATATCTGCCATTTATCAGTTATCAACCATAACATAATTATTGGTATCAGAATTTTAATTTCAGTGCATCACTATTAATTATATTTAATATATTGTTGTTTGAGATATAATTGAGATATACAGTAACTGCATATTAATATAATAACAATATATGTAATCTAAGCGCGCACACAAAATGACAAAGGCAAAGGATGACCAAAGATCTTGATTAAGGAACACTTATTAACACTTATAGGAACACTAATTTTATTTTGTGTTTTTATTTTCTAGTCAGCATGAGGAGAAGGAGAGAGCCTTCAAAGAGCAGTTATCTCATCTTGCAGCGCTCCTGCCAACTCTCCAGGTAATCACGTTGTCTTCATGCATCTTAATGTTTTCACATATTCTTCTTGCTTTCAGACATGTTTCCATTGAATTCTCTCCAGGTTCATCTTGTCACGTTCGGCCTTCCTAAGCTCAGCGAATAAGTTTGAGTTCTTGGACATGGGATATGTGAGTACAAACAAATGAAATATTTTTTATCAAATAATATAATAATAAAATGGTACCTATAATAAGAATCATAATTGATTGATTTGACCTCACACAGCAGTTAATGGAGAGACTAAAGAAGATTGTGAAACTACCACACAGACTGAGACCAGCACAGAGCAGTAAGGTTAGTTTACTAAATTCAAATATGTTAGATAAGTCAGTGCTGAAGTTATATCTGCTGTAATCTATCTACGCAGATAAACACAGAGTATCGCTCCGAGTTCGCTCGCTGCCTGGAGCCACTCTTGCTGTTGGGGCAGCGACGTTCAGTGTCCACTACAGGGAGTGTGGCTTTAGGTCTGGGAAACGCCAGTGGACTGTGAGTCTGTTTAGACAATGCTTATTAAAAAAGTAACACTTAAACATTAAATTAATCTTTTTATCATCTTCCTGCAGCATGCAATCATATCTGTCAGTGCAGTGTCACTCTCCAGCCATGAGTGACATGTCACTGTGTTCCTCGGTGGTGCGCAGGCCGACTTCACACCGTTACATCAGCACCAAGGTCCTGCTGGCGGAGGGTGGAGAGACGCCATTTATGGAGCACTGCTGCAACTACGAGAACAGCTACAGGGTGTGTTTCTCATGCACACATGAGGTTCAGTCCATTATATTTTATTTTTAGCCTTTTTCCGGGCTAATGTAACAATTGAAAATTATATTATATTATGTAACCATAAAGTCCAACCCCTAAACACATATTTCCATAGGAAAATAACGTTTTGAAATATTGTACTGCAACTGACAAATTCTCTATGTCTGTTCAACTAGACTTTACAGACAGAAATCCAGAAGCTCAAAGACCAGGTGCAGGAGATTCACAGAGACCTGACAAAGCACCATTCACTCAGCAAACCTGACACCATGAATGAGATTTTGGAGAGGTCTGTTCAGGTGGACAGACAGATGTCATCAGAGTACTCCTCAGTCGAGCTCATGCGGGCCATGTTCGAGGAGGTGAGATGCCGATACTTGCCAATAGCCTACTGACATTTGAAGGATGTGAAGAACACAACTCACTGTGCCATCAATTTTGTTTTTAGATTTGGGAGGAGACATTACAAAGGGTGGCAAATGAACAGGAGATTTATGAAGGTGTGTAAGTATATAAATGCATATTATTTATCTGCTCACTGCAGTTATATCGGAGGTACCATATTTAGTGATCTTTTTGTTGATGTTACCTTTTCTTTTCAGCACAACTTCATGACCTCCTTCAGTTAAAACAGGAGAACTCCTTTTTGACCACTATTTCCAGACAAATAGGCCCCTACATTGGCTCCATAGCAAAAGTGAAAGAGCGTCTCGAGCCCAGGTACTGGAGAGCTTGATGTATCGTTCACATAGCTTATAGAGTACTATAAATAATATAAATACACTACTGTTCAAAAGTTTGAGATCTGTAAGATTATTATCTGTAAGATTTAATGTTTTTGAAATAAGTGTCTCATGCTCATTAAGACTGCATTTATTTGATCAAAAAAAAATAAAGTAAATGTAAATATTAATGTTATTAATATTATTATTATTAATAGTAAAAAGTAAAATAGTACTATTGTGAAATTTTGCTACAATTTAAAATAACTGTTCCTTTTTAATAAATTTTAAAAGAGAATTGATTCATGCTTCACCAATACAGTAATGAGCTGTCCTGTAACACGGAGGACAACTGGACTCTAAACAGCCTATCAGAAGAGACCGATCCCAAGAACAAGGATTACTACAGGCCAAACAAGCAGAAGAACACCACTGATACAGCCAATCGCAAAGAGATACCAATGTGAAACTGCTTTTATGTTGATCCTACAAACAGCTGTCAGTTTAGACAACCATTACCCCAAACAATAAGCATGCACTTACATTAAATCTAATTTACAGAAGCTTGAAAGAGAAAAACTGCTAGTTTACAGCGCTTGCATTTTAGAGAATCACAGTAATGTCAAATAAACATTATATTCAGTGTTTATTTGAAAGGTTTGTTACATTTTGCTGAAGATGTTAATAATGTAAGCGGTACAGTTATCCAAGAGGTAGGGTGGTCCTCTTCCGTTTGCTTTTTGCACAAGCGTAGTGCAACTCTTACATCATAAAAACCTATTGCATGTGTTCAGATGTCCATTACCTCTACACATATATTATAGTGCTCGTCATTGGTTAAAAGTGTGCAAGAAATTCCTATTCTTTACCCAATGTCTATATAAGCTACATCATGCCAGGTGGAGAGTGGAGCCTTCCTCCCAGAAATGTAAAATCAGAAAGATTAAGACTTTGGATACAGCATAACCCCTCCGGCGTTCGGCCCTCTGAATCCTACCTTCATAGAAACAGATTTTCTTGTTGAATTATTATGCAAGTGTGAAGGAAAGTGACAAGACATGGATATGGTAATGAGCGAGTGTGGGAATGAAGACGAAAAGAGACTAATGCATTTGACGAGAGGGCATATGCACAGAGACATGACTGAAGAACTGGAAAGACCAATGGGGAACAAATAATCAAAAGAGGGATTAGGCCTGTAATTTATCATGTGTTTATTTTTCTAATCATAATATTAAAATTGTTCAACAGCATTAACAAATCACAGATATTAAGAGATTGTCAGAAATGTGTTTTAAAATGTGTAGACCTGTTGTGACCGGCAGAATTAGGAGAATCAGCTCCAGCTGACCTTGAAAAAAAGAGATTTCTGAGACATGATATACTCCTCCTTACACAAACCGGACAATGACTAAATGGCCACTGCAGTAAATATATCTTAAGTCCAATTTAAAGCCTATCTGAATAAAAATACTGCAAGAGATTTAAAAATCTACTGAAAAACTCTGGACGTTCAGAAGTAGTAACAAACCAATGTCCTGAATCTCACTTCTAAGGATTCTAACCACAAAAAGAAAGACGAGAAAAACTAAACCAGCGTATGTAATTACATGGTGCAAAGACTGTAAATATGAGGATGCATGACATATGACTGGTATGTAAATGAGTAGGAGTAAGACAGAATGTAAGAACAGAAATGCGATGAAGTGCAGGAGACAAGACAGATGCTGAGGAATGTGGTGTTTGTGTAGTATCTCTGATGGTGTTGAGGGTGGAAGCGCCACCCTGCTCAGAGCAGACCATTGTGTCTCGGAGCAGATCAGTGAGTCAGTTTTACTGTGCTGCCACCTCATATATCTGTGCCGCGCCCAAGGGGGCACGACATGATGCCACCAGGCAACTAGCTCGCTCCGAGTGCCAGTCAGCGGTGTCCAGGTGTGCACTTTCAGGCTATTTCCTCCGTTCAATGCAGTACAGGCTTTAGGAGTTAACCCTGATCCCTGAGATGAAGGGCAAGCCAGTAAAGACCTTCTTCTTATACTCAACGTAGTCCTCTCCAAAGAAATGGATGAGAAAGATCTCCTCTTCCTCAATACGCTCCCGAAAGAACCGCCAGCTGGCGAATGTATATCCTAGTATACATATTGGGTTGCACAGCATTATCTGGGGGAAAGGAGAAGCAAGAATACAGGTTTAAATAAAACATTTTTTATTTAGACTAACAATTAAGCAGTCAGTCAAATATTTGGAATAGTTAAGATTTTATGTTTTTAAAAGAAGGCTCATTAGGCTACTTCTATTTGATCAAAAATATGAAAACAGTAATATTGTGAAATGTTACAATTTAGAATAACTATTCTAAGTTTTTCTATTTGGATTTTCAGCAGCCATTACTCCAGGCTTTTGCTGCTCAAGAAACATTTATTTTTATTATTGATGTTGAAAACCATATTTGCTGTTTCATATTTTTGTGGAAACTGAGATAAACTACATTAAAAAGTATGATTTTAAAAAATACTTTTATTTAGCAAGGACACATTAAATTGATCAAACAGTAAAAAATGCTGTTCTTTTGAACTTTCTATTCATCAAGGAATATCAAGGTATTAAGGTTTCCACAAACATATTAAGAAGCAAAAACATTTTTAACATTGATAATAAGCACCAGATCAGCACCAGACAAGCAAGCATATGAGAATATGATGATATCATATGACACTGATGACTGGAATAATAACTACTGAAAATGTAGCTTTGCTATCGTAGGAATAAATTAACATTTAAAATGTATTTAAATAGGAAAATAGGAAAAATTGTTATTTTAAATTGTAATAATATTTCACAATATAACTGATTTTACAGCATTTTTATCAAATATATACAGCCTTGGTGAACACAAAACTTCTTTAAAAAAATAAAAAATAAATAAAATTATATATATATATATATATATTCTGAATTGATATTCACTATAAATATAAATTCCATTGAAATAATGGTTGAAGAACCTGAGTGCCAATGCTCCAGTAAAACCAGCCCACATAGGAAGGATGTCTGAAGAGAGCGTAAACTCCAGTGGTGACCAGCATATGGGTCTGGGCCTTCTCATTCTGTACTATGTGGTTAAAGTTGGATCCTGCTGTCAACATGGCAGCTTTGCGCAGACTGTCCCCACAGAGAACCATCACCAGACCCACCAGACAGAGCCAGTTCACCTGCTTTATCTCTGTAGGGGAAAACAAACAGTGAAATTCAGTTAAAGTTAATCACTTCATTTCAATAATGAGAAAAATAGTTCATATAATAATAATAATAATTCTGTAAACTTTAGAATAATTTCATTTCAATCACTCTAAAATAAAACAAACAAACAAAGCTTTGGCAATATATTATATTATTTTATATTGCATTATTATGTTTCAGTTTTTATTTTTAACTGAATGTGCTAAGCACTATAAGTTTGACAAAGTCTAGATCGTATCAAACCTGGAATAAGGAGCTGTTCCACAGTGAACTCGATCCAGGAGGAAATAGCTGCTACTACGTACTCAACACTATGGTTGAGCAGGAATGAGTCTAGAGACAGACTGCGCGGGTTGATCATGGCAGTTACCAGGTACTCAGAGTAGTGAAAAAATGACAGTGAACACATATACCTAGTGAAACAAAACAAAACAAAACGTCAATACAGACTGACATTATTCCATTAATCTAGCAAAATTCATTCAATTGTAAAAACCATACATACTTGTTTACAGTCCTTATTTACAGTGGTGGCCCAAATTATTAGAGCACTAGTATTTTCACCAGCTAAAAATGGTTTTAAGTCAGATATTTCTATCTTTTGCTGTAGTGTGTCAGTAGGAAATATCAGTTTACATTTACAAACATTGATTTTGCCATTAATTGTAATAATCCAGTGAGATTTTTGTTTGCACAAGGAGTCTGACAACAGCCAGTTCTTCACACAGAGATTGCATCCAGTCTGTCTGGGATTACATGAAGAAACAGAACAAACTCAGACAGACTAAATCCAGGAGAACTGTGGCAACGTCTCCAAGATGCTTCAAGAAACCTAACTGCAAAGCTACCTGAAAAACTATGCTCAAGTGCACCTAGGACAAAAGCTGCTTTAAACGCAAAGGATGGTCACACCAAATGTTGAAGTAATTTAAAGAAAATCTATATATGACATTATTTTTGACAGCGTCCATTTTTACACAAGTGCCTAAAACTTTTAACAGTACTGTAGCTTTGCAGGTAGGTTTCTTGAAGCATCTTGGAGACATTTCCACAGTTCTCCTGGATTTAGTCTGTCTGAGTTTGTTCTGTTTCTTCATGTAATCCCAGACAGACTGGATGATGGTGAGATCCGATCTCTATGTGAAGAACTGGCTGCTGTCAGACTCCTTGTGCAAACAAAAATCTCACTGGATTATTACAATTAATGGCAAAATCAACGTTTGTAAATGTAAACTGATATTTCCTACTGACACATTACAGCAAAAGATAGAAATATCTGACTTAAAACCATTTTTTAGCTTGTGAAAATACCAGTGTTCTAATAATTTTGGCCACCACTGTATGTTAAATGTCTAAATTAAGCTCAAATAGATCTAAAACATTTAAAAAAAGTTGAATTACCAGCCAAAGTATGTCCATGTTGTATCTGCAAAACTTAAAATGAGACCGCATCCAAAGGCAAATCCAAGAAAGCAGGCTCGAACAGCCACCTGATTAAGCAAAAAGGCAGGAAATTGTGAGCCAGATCCTGATTCTGCAAACCCACATACAGTAAACGGTGTTCTTGGAGAGATTATTTATATTGACAGAGAAACCTATAGGAGATCCCATTAGAGTGCTGATGTAACAGGATTATACCTGACACGGGGAATTACCAGTGACAGAATTCTGTAGCCTTTGCAACTACACATCTAGATATCTTTATTCATTTAAAACACGTATACAGCACTAGACAGTGGTTCGGTTACCAAGTAATTACACATGTGCTCTATCTGTACAACACATCTGATTCAGACTGTCTCTCTGAGTCTTACCTTGTATAAAGGTCCCTTGTATATGATTAGTAGGAAGCCATTGATAACTGTGATATACACCGCAATGGCTATTTTCCCGTTCACATCCGTGAGGTAATCGAATATCCAGTCAATGTGAGAGCCGAATTTCACAAGTAAAGGTATTATGATGACGCCCAGTCCTGAGATAAAGCTAATAATACTTATCCTCCCTTCTAGCACAAACCTGCTGCCTGCCATGTTGAAAACAGCAAGATCTCGCCGAGAAATCTCGCGTGGATTCAGAGCTCACGCTAACTTCTTTACTAATTGGTTTGACAGCTTTTTCACGCTCATTGAAATGTAGATATGCATTAATTTATCCTGATGTGCGACTTTAATTTTAAAAGATTAAATTATTCTATTATTATTGTTATTATTATTAGTAGTAGTAAGATTCTGAAAACTTATGAGGAATCATTTCAAGCTTTCTAAAAATGAAATAATAATAGAAGTAATGATATATAATAATATTAATATTTAATCAATTTATTTAAAACCATACACACGTACACACATTATTGTTTCCTTACAATGAAATCAAATGTGCCAAGCTGTTAATGTTCTATACAAATATTAAAAATTATTATTTTTATTATTATTACACAGTTAGGTTTAATGAGATTATTCTTTACCATGCAATGCAAAGGCTGTATGTTGTACAATTTACTAATAAAGCAATAAAACTAAAATGTTGATTCACTCAAGATGTGGAAAAAGAGCCCCATTTTTAATCAACAACCCACGTACACTTAATACAATGAGAATTTAATATTAATCTACAGCTGTAATATGTGGAATTTAGATGGTGATGGTGGTGGTGAATACTACAAAACATACTGCCGGTGTCAAATCAGCAAAGCACAATATTTCTCCTATAATAACAAATACATGGCTGTCAGTGAACATGACGAGAAGCATTATTTCACAATAACAAAGTAGTTGTAGAGTAATTCAGATTTGAGCTGAAAGGAAGATTTAATGGTTTAATAATGTGAGATGGAGATCTCCCTTGTGTCCTTCTTTGTGTGTCCATTCCAAAGCTGCTCGTCTGATTGGAAGGACTGGGGACCTGGCAGACGCTGCAGTCGCAACATTAGACTGTCTTTGCATGCTCAAGTCCATCTATTCACTACTGTTCCACTGTGATGCCAACAACTCAACACTCAACCACATGAACACAAGCACAAAATACATAAAATTACTTATGTCTACATGTAATAACTGTCAATAAATTTGTTACAAATGACATGTCTCTCAATCTTAATACCACACATATCATAACACTGTAGCTCATTTTCATTCATTTGAATCAGCTGGCCTTGCAGGTATACATATGTTCTCCTGCAAATATCATAATCAGTCTTATGCATATTGCTGTTTTACAAATTTCAGAAACAATTATATCTAAGAAAGCAATCATAGGATACACATAAACATGGATAAGAATGAATATAAAATGTTCCAACACAGTGGAAAATATAATCACATGAATTTGGAATGGAAAATATGACAAATTCTCCTGCCTCATTTAAACAATAATGAACATGCCACGGTTTAAGCTTATACCCTCAGGATCAACACATTGTCCCTTTTTGCGTGTGATGCGGTAATGCCTGTGTAATTTAGCATAGCACCGAAGCCCTGTAAAAACAGGGAAGGAACATTTTAAATACAGCTTCTACTTTGTCAGCATGAGTAACAGTTAGTCCAAAAACACTTGCTCACCTTCCTCACACATGCAGCTATCATAGCACTTGTTGTTGAAGCCGCGGTTGTGACGCTCACATACATGTTTTCTGAGATTGCAGCAAGACCCTGAGAAAGTTCATGAAAAAGAGGTAAAAATGGTGTCATCATTTATTTCACTTAATCAAATGACTTTGAATTATACTACTGGGGTCGGTAAGATTTGTAATGTTTTTGAAAGAAGTCTCTTATGCTCACCAAGGCTGAATTTATTTGATCAAAAATACAGTAAAAACAGAAATATTGTGGAATATTATTACAATTTAAAATAATTGAATTTTCAGCAGCCATTATTCCAGTCTTCAGTGTCATATGATCCTTCACAAATCATTCCAATATGATGAATTGGTGCTCAAGAAACATTATCTGATTAATAGCAAGTTAAAAGGAACAGCATTTATTTGAAATAAAAATCTTTTGTATCATTATAAATGTCTTTACTGTCACTTTTGATCAATTTCATAAGTTCTTGCTGAATAAAAGTATTATTAAAAAATCTTCTGAGTGGTAGGATATTACATTATAATTACTCAAATTACAAAGAGAAATGCATGTGGGAAAAGTCACCTGGCAGACAATCTAGGTGATGTTTGCAGCTCTTATCTGATGTAAGTGTCACAAGCTCAGTGCTGGGGCTTTTTGTGGCCTGTTTGTCAGAACCTGGATAGAAACATTTACTACATTTCATTTTTACACATTAGGGAATTTGACATTTGGCGTTTTCCATGCAGAGACTGATGAGGTATGGGAAAAAAATGTGCCTAATAGTCCTAAATGGCTCATTCCCGTGGTCCCAAATGTAAAGCAATACACATTATTCTGACAAACGATTTAGCATATATTGCAAAACATGCACAGATTATCTCAGGTCACCATTTCAAAGCAAGCATACTTAAAAACTGAATCTCTCAACATTAAAACTCACAAACATAAAAGCAGAACAAAATATCTGTATTTGTATATGAAACATTGACCCACCTCGCTTCTTAGAAAATAGCTTTTTGTGTGCAGGCCTCATATCTTCATAATCGGTCCAGTCGAAGAATGCCATGTTGAAAGTGGGCGTCACATCTCCACCTGAATAACCTCCGACCTGAGGTACAAAACAACATATTTAGTATTCATGCCACTATATGAGGTGTTGAAATTACACTTTTTCATATGAATGTAAATCATTTGTTAATCCTGGTCTGTTTTATACCTTTTTGAGCCAAAAAAAACCAAGAAATTGATTAATGTGTGGATTTAATTGATGGCATGAACCTATTATCCCTCATAATGTGGTTCATTGGGATTCAATTTTACTAAGCCTGTTTCTAGACACTGATAGATGAGAAGCTGAGATATTTTTTAATCAGTGTGACTGAAAAGACTGAACAGCTAGATGATGGTTACCTGTGGTTTACTGGAGGGGGTTGGCTTTGTGGAGGGCTCCCCACCAACTGCTGCAGTTACTGGCGATATGAAGGAGCCAACAGTGGCTGCAGGAAACACTGGCTCTGTGGGACTCCCAAAGGAGTTTTTATTGAGCCTTTGATCAAAAGAAAGCCTCCGTTTCTTCCCTGATGCCAAAGACACTATGAAAAGAAAATGCCAAGCAGATAATTAAGAAATGGCAGGACATTTATAAAGGAGTTTTACTTTGGAAAGTTTGAGAGTTTCTTTTACCTTCATCATGAGTCCTAACGATGTGCCCCCCGAACACATTGGGACCAGTGGGACGTCTCATTGCCTTCTCAGGAGTCTCAGCACCAGGAGAGATATTCATTTGCTCTGGAATTAAAGAATCAAACCCCATGGAGGTCCTCTTTTTTGGAGTGATTACCTGTCTTTTATCTCCTGGCTCCATCTCTAAGCGGACGGGACTGAGGCCCTCCACGTCTCGCCCTTCATTTTGGGTGTGGAACACAGTAATGCAGGGCCTTTCTCTGAGCTGACCTGCTGTCATCCTCTCCTTGCGACCTCTGTACTTCCTGTGATGACTGTGTTGATGTATGGAAGCCTCTGACCTGGGCGGGATAATGACATTGTCGCTGAAGAATTCCATGGCTGAACTGTGGCCCGTTTCGGTGCTCAGTGTCATGGTCACCATGTCAAGGAGGAGAAATGAGACGAAATACCAACATAAAGCCACCATTCTAGGGGTAGAAAAGATGAAACAAATAATACAGCATTAAAGGGGTCATATGATGCGATTTCAAGTTTTCCTTTCTCTTTGGAGTGTTACAAGCTGTTCGTGAATAGATAAGATCCCTAAAGTTGCAAAGACTAAAGTCTCAAACCAAAAGAGATATTCTTTATAAAAGTTAAGACTCGTCCACGCCTTCCTAAAACGCCT